GCCTCTGTGCGCTGCTACAATCCTCGGATCTTGGGTACGATTGTGAGCGTCGCCGCTCATAGTCCTACAAGATGTAGGATTGCGAGCGCTACTGCTCGCAATCGGAGGCATGTTGCTAGGATTGCGAGCAGTGCTGCTCGCAATCCTAGACTTTGCTCGGATTGCGAGCGCGCTGGTAGTAGTCGTAGGCGTCACCAGTCACCTTGGGAGCGGAGCTGCTCTTAGTCCTAGAAGATGTAGGATTGCGAGCGTGGGTGCTAGCAATCGCACAGAGATGCTACGATTGCGAGGAGTGCTGCTCACAATCCTTCGACTTCTAGGATTGAGAGCGAGGCTGCTCTCAATCCTTCCGGTCTAGAAAAGAAGGTTCACCGCCTCTCACCTCCTTGTTTTTCCGTGCCGTGAACAGAGCACCCCGAAAATCGGACCGGAAAAATACTCCGGCTGCGCGGGCCCAACGCAGGCATGGGTGAGTCGTGTCGGGCGGCCTCCGAGCGCTCGCGCGCCTCCGTCTAACGGTGCACTGCTCGTCTGACGGCGAGGTCGCGTTTTCACACCCAAAGGAAGGACACGAGTGAGGACGGGGGGTCGCCCCGGTGCCCCCCGCGCGCTGGCCGTGCCAACGGGTCCGCTGGGGTCCGCTGGGCCGCCTCAGACCGCCGAAACTATTTTTTCCTGCATCCTGGAACGGCTGACCGAGAATTGGCTGTGTCGTGAACACGCGCGACTCTGAAGTCTGATCACACAACCTTTAGTTCGTGCCGCGCCGACGAGCCGTGCCGCGGCGACCCCGGCACCAGCCGCAGCTTGCCGCCTGCCAACCCCCACCCGCGGCCGTGGGAAGTGAAGATCCGGAACGCCCACCACAGCGGCCGCAGCCAGCTGCGCCGCCGCCGCTGAGGCGCGCCGAGCGCGGGCGCGTCTCCAATGTCGATGCGGAGCGCCCCCGCCGCGGCGGCGGGGAAGGCGGCGGTGGCGGCGGGCGCGGCGGCGGAGGCGGGGGCGAGGGCGGTGGCGGAGGGGGCGCTGTCCCGCGAAGCGTCGAGCAGAGCTCGCATCTCGGCCGCCTCGGCGGCCGCCGCCGCCCGCGCCGCCTCGAGCTCTTGCCGCAGCTCGGCGCGCACCTCGGCCGTCTCTCGACGCGCGGCGTCGCGGTCTCTGTGCGCGCGGCCGAGCTGCATCGAGATGGAGGCGTGGTCGGACTGAAGGTGGAGGAGCGCCATCTCGAGCTGCTCGTACCTAGAAGGTTCCTGGAAGGTTCCTGGAAGGTTCCTGGAAGGTGCACGCCCTCTCTAGCTGCTCGTACGTCGCGTTGCCAGGCCCGCCCTGCCTCGCGCGAGGCAGCAGCGCGTCCCCCATCGACCTGCCGAACGACATGCCACGGACGTGTCGGGGACGTGTCGGGGAAGTGTCGGGGAAGTGTCTCGCAATTCCCCATCGACCTGCCGTACGACATGCCACGGACATGCCACGGACGAGTGACAGACACGCAGCAGCGGCGGCGCATCTCTGACGTGTCTCTGAAGTGCCTCGGATGTGTCCCTCCCGGAAGGGTCTCGGAAGTCTCTCGGAAGTCTCTCATCGACCTGCCGCGGGCGAGAGGCGTCTGCGGCGAGGATGAGGCGCCGCCGCTGCCGCCGCGAGGGCTGAGCGGCTCGAGGAGCGGCTCCGCGTGCCACGCCTCGCGCCTCGCCTCCGTGCTGGCCGACGCCGCCGCCACAGGAGGCTGCTGCTGCTGCTGTTGCTGCTTCGCGCCGCCCGCCCGCCCCGCCTGCCGCGCCTTGGCCGGCGACGCTGCGCCGCCGCCCTCGCTTCCTCTGGCGGACTCGGCGGCGGCGGAGGCTGAGGCGGCGGCGGCGGCGGCGGCGGCGGCAGTGGCGGCGGCGGAGGCGGCGGAGGCGGAGGAGGCGGAGGCGGGGGCGGGGGCTGCTGCTGTGCCGCCATTGGAGCTTCGCTGCTCTGGCGGCGGCCGGGCGTCGCGGAGCTGCCGGCGCAACGCCTCGATGGTTCGCTTCTGCGACGCGACCATCTGCCCGGGGCGGAGGGAGGGAGGTGGGGCGGGAGAGGGGGAGAGAGGAGAGGAGGGAGGACGGGGCGGTGGGGCACTGGGCAGAGGGAGAAGGCCGAGTGGGAGGCGAGAAGAGGATGAGGAGGGTGGCGAGGCGGGGGTAGAGGAAACGCGAGGAGGAGGGGGCCATCTCCTGCATCAGAGCTCCCTCCCCGACTCGGTTGGCTCGCTCGTCCGACGTGGACCGCAGCGCCTACAACCGAGAGAGCCAGCGAGGGTCCGAGGAGGCTCTGGGGCGTGTCCGAGAAGTCTTACCTCGGGATGCCTCGCCAAGCGCACCAGCGACCTCGGCCTTCTCCTCGCGCATCTCCTCCAGCCGCGCGCGCAGCTGCCGAACCTCCGCGTTCAGGCAGCCCTTCTCGTGGACGAGCGCTCCTACGGATGCGCACAGAGAGGTGAGGCACACGAGGAGAGGCCCGGCCCTGCGTCGTGCCGGCGCCGCGCGCCCAGCTGTCGCCGGTGCACCTCCTCGACGGCGCGAAGGTCCTCGATCTGCGAGCGCTGCTCGTCCTGCACGTCGGCGCCCACCGGCGGCGGAGGAGGCAGCGCCTGGAGACGGGAGGTCTCCGCGAGGGCGCGGTTGCACACGCCGAGGAGGGCGGCGAGCGCGCCGTGGCCTGCTTGAGCGACGTGCGGCCGGAGTCGCTCCGCAGTGCGCTCGAGCTGCAGCTCGAGCGAAGTGTTGGCCTGCATTGGGTCCAGCCCGAGAGGCGACCCGCCCGCCTCCGCCGACCAAGCGCGTTTCAGCACTCCAACGTGGCGCGGCAGGGTTCCGGCTCCTAGCAGATAGGGGGTCTGCTGAACTGAGTCGCGCCAAAACGCCCTACCTATCTACCTATCCCCAGGCCGCGCGCAGCGAAGCGAAAAAGAGAAGAAAATAGGGGGTACCTACCTATTGCGGCAGTGTTGGTTTTCTATTTTCGCCGGGTTGTAAGGTAAGGTAAGGTAAACTTCTCCACACACACGAGGTGGTGGGGCAAAGGGGGGGCAACCCTCGCGTCTCCACGTCTAACGACAGGAGCCCCACGACATTCAAAGTGCAAGGCCCGTTTAGCGTTTTGGGCTCGGCCAGGTTTTCCGGAAAACAAAAAGGAAAACAGAGGGTGGTCCCTCAGCACTTTGCGTTTCCGGAAATTTCCAGGGAAAACAGAGGGTGTTTGGTGCTCCATTCTGGAAACTCGCGAGTTTCCCTGAGTCTGAGAGCTGGTCTGGGGCAAAATCTGAGGCAAAATTGAGGAAATCGACAAAATACCCAGGCGGTCGCAGGGTAAGTTCCAGGTATACACGGGTTCTCCGCAAAATTCCCGGCATTTTGCCAATTTGGCCTAAAATTTGGCTGATTTTGGGCCCAAACCAGCCTCAGACTCGGCTCAGCGCCCAAAATTTGACGATTCCCACGGAGTTTTAGGGAAAATAGAGAGGAAAAGAGAGGGTGTTAGAGAGAAAAGGAGAGGAAAACAGACGGGGTGCGAGAGGCAAACCTGGCCGAGCCCAAGGCCCGTTGCGCGTGGGTGAGCGGTGTGTGTGTGTGTGTGCGCGCGCGCGTGTGTGTGTGTGTGTGTGTGTGTGTGTGTGTGTGTGTGTGTGTGTGTGTGTGTGTGTGTGTGTGTGTGTGTGTGTGTGTGTGTGTGTGTGTCACGTCACTGCATCCTCTGCCGGTTCCTCCCGTCGCCTGTCTGCGGCGACCACAGCGCTTGCAGGAGGTACATGCGAGCTTTTCTAGCTTTTCAGAGTCAAGCGATTGCAGCGAAAATCCCACACTGGTGGATTTTGGGGCGCTGTGGACCCTCTACATAGGGGGGGGAGACGCCGATCTACGAATCAAGTTGTTGGTGGATTGGTGCCGGCCTGCCCGCCGGGGGGCGGGGGCGCGCCCCCCCGTTTACAGTATGCCGAGTTTTTTGCTTTTGGGGGCGGGGCGCATCTGGCATCTCGATCTCGCGCGCGGCGGCGCGGGCCGCGGGCTGCCCGTGCGAGCGGGCGCCGGCACCTCGTTTGACCATTGGCGTGTCCGTTTTTTGTTTATAGAAGAGGGCGGGACGGCCGCTTCCGACGAACACCCCTCCTCTTTGCTCTCGCGAGCGGTGAGGAGGTCGCGTGACCGTCTCAAAGACTCACTGAATACGATAAAGCAGGGTCTCCCCGACCCCCGTCGCCCAAAGCTGCGCCAGCTGGGCCCGCGCCCGCCTCCGCCTCGGCGCCGCACGCCTCGAGCAGCCCTTGGCTGAATGGGGTCCGCAGCAGCACGTGGCACGCGCACTGCATCGTCGTGAGCGCGTAGCCCTCTCGCCCGCCTGCGAGCTCGGACGGCAGCAGCTCCGCCACCAGCTCGAGCTCGGAGGGCAGCACCGCGACGCGCGAGCGCAGCACCACGTACACCGTGATGGGCAGCAAGTCCTCCGCTCCGAGACAAGGCGCGCCTCGCTCGCCGTCGCTGCCGCCGCCGCTCGCCGCCTCGTGGAGCGACGCCGAGTGCTGCGCGCCGCTCGCAACCTCCTCGCACACCTCGAGCAGCACGCGCGCCTAGCGAGGC